CAAAAAAGCGTGAGACAATTCTTAATGAATCAACAACTAATAAGATTTAGTTATCAACTAACTAAGAATTCACTGGGGCATGAACACAATGCCAGAAAAGGAAATTGTCTCACTGAATTCTTAGTTAGTTGATAACTAAATCTTATTAGGCGCTAATTAGTTAAGAATTGTTTCACACTTATGTGGCGTGCACTCTAAAGCGTGGATTTCACTAGCGCATAAGCATAGCATAAGCACGAGCATGAGAATCATATGTGCCAGTGAGAACGGGCTCGACATAAGCATAAGACATTGAGCATGCGCACGAGTGCATTATTTCGGTACCAGGCTATGCTTATGCCTATGCAGTCCCGTTCTCACTGAGTTCATAAGCATGAGATAAGCACAAGAAGATAAGGCCTTGCTCGTCTTTCTTGTGCTCATGCTTATGCTTATGTCGAGCCCGATCTCACTGGCGCATATGACTCTCGTGCTTCGTGCTTATGCCTATGCTTATGCGCTAGTGAAATCCACGCTTAAAAAAAATCATTATACGTTCTTATGCCTGGTTTAAACCTGGGAGAATCCTTCGTCTACTCACGGTTCTGGGGTGTAAAGAGGTTTCGATCCATGTCGTATATACTGYGTGCTATGAAACACACGGAAYGCCAATCCMGCAAGAAAATCTCTGGGTGACAGAAGACCTGCTACAGGACGTAGTGTAAAACCTGAACGCTCTATGAAAAGAGCAGTAAGAAAAGTGAATGGCGTTGTCATAGCATYAAGGAAAACAACCGCCCTGGAGAGTATATTACAAATTTGAATTAAATAAAGAAAAGAATCGGAGAAGAAGAATCAGATGATGTTAAGAGGAAAAAGAAAGAAAAAGAATGATGAAGAGGAGATAATTAATTAAAATCGACGAAAAAAAAAGCAAAAAACAAAAAATAAAACAAAACAAAACAAAACAAAAAAACAAAACAAAAACAAAACAAAACAAAACAAAACCGCAAAGAGAGGACAACAAAAAGTGATGATAGCTAGAATGATAGCGAGATGTAAACATGAGAAAAAGAGGAAAGAAAAGTATATCAAGGAAAGAAAATGAAAGTAGAAGTAGGAAAAAAAAACTCAAAGAAAAAAATGCAGAACGACACGATGAAGAAAAAGGCGAACATTGCAGGCGAACATTGCAGATTGAGGAAGCGTAAGACAGTGATGGTAAAAAGTCGAACAATACCAATTTAATAGCAAAAAAGGCCAAGAAAATAAAATAAAAAATAAATAAAATAGAAAAAAAGGCCAAAAAAAAGGAAAGATGAAGAAGAAGAAACATGAGATGACGATGACGATGACAATATAATCATAACTTAGACATCACTTAGAGGATGGATAGAAAACAACACTGTTTTCATTGCAAATTTACCTTTGATGAAATCTGAAACCACTTGTAATTGTGGAATACTTCCAAGCCTGCAACACAAATACGGAAACAAACCATTATACCTTATTCGAGTTCAGTACTAAATAGAAATCGAGTCTTCTTACTTGTAATCGCATTCCCTCACGAGGAATGGCCAGATGTCGTTAAACTCTCGGCATGCATGAGTTGGGAAAAGCTTGGTCAGACATTGAAATATGGTATTCCTGAAGATTGAATTAACGTAATAACGATATCAACACATTGCATACGTATAAATTGGATATTGCTATAGGGTATCGCCTGGTCATATTTCATTGATGTCTGCACGAGATTCGCTAAAAGGCAATATACTCGTATGCTGCACGGAATCAGGTCGAAACTCTTCCATATAGCTATATAAAAAAATATATGAAAATTTAAAAATAAAAA